GTCGTGTATCTCCGACGCGACTTCTTTCGCGCACGTGCTGCATCCGTAACGAATTCGCGAGGGAAACGCGATCTGCGCGTTAATACGCGCGAAAATAGGATTGTCACGTCGCACATGTAATTACAAGATAGGAAGACTCGGCGTATTCTCGCTTTTGATTCTTTAGATTTTTGGAATTAGCTACCCAGGCAAAATTTTGTAAAAATAGAACGGGAGTATGTTTATCAGTTTATAATCATTTTGCATATTGATGAAATAACAAGCACAGTTTGTGAAATATTTAATATTATCTTTCTGCGATTATGACTTTATTTTTTATAGAGAAATGGAAGATATCTTTCTTCTAAGTTTTATTAATTATTTCTAATAATAAGACATACGACTGCGCCATTTTAACTTGACCAATTTAAATATAACTATACTGAATTTCTTTTTTGTGTGATAAAAATTTTTCTTGATTTTTCATATGATTTTTAAAATTATCTAACAAATTATATCAAGTTAAGTAAATATCAAGTTTTTATTGCAAAATTTAATTTATCTCAAGATTTGATAGTTTATCTTTGATATAATCTTGAATATAACTTTGTTAAGCTGTATATAAAAGCATTTGTATATTATAAAAGCATTTGTATATTATAACTTTGGTATTTTTGGAATTGTAAATGAGTAAAATATTACTACATTAGCATATGAAGATTAAAGAAGGATGCTGTGTTAATATTACAATTTGAGCGCTCAACTATTGTGCTGCTCATTATAATTGCATGATTGTACACGAGTATATTGCCAAGTAAACGAACTTCCGTTTAAGTTATTTGAACGAGCAAACGCATTTTGGCGTGATTTCGTTACGAAATTCTCGCGAAAACAGACACGACTATCAATGTATAAAATTATTAAAATTGATAATTTTGTAATTTTGTAAGACGTTTTTTTTTAAATATCTATTGGTATCCATTTTAAATTATATTATCTAAGAACTTTAAACTAAATGTTTTGCAATTTTTCAAACTGTATCTTGCATATATTTATTTTTGCAAGCAAGTTGACAATTTTGTTTTTAAATTTTTAAAGATTTTTTAATTAAAAATATTCTAACAAAAATTTTTTTATTTTTGAATATATGGCACCGTCATAAAGTTCATAAAAACGAATAATTATTATGGAATAATAATTAAAAGTTTTTCAAAATTGTAGGATTATTTAAACAGAGGTTAAAAAACTAAAAAATTTTGCCGCACACGCGCGGCAAACTGCCATATATTTTCATTGGACTTTCCGACAAGAATATTTGATCAGCCAATGCGAAGTTAAAATAGTACATGGTGAAACCATATAGGCTTGAATGGTAGATTATACTAGAAAAATGCCAAATAAAAATAATAAAGAACCTTATGATAAAATCTATATTTTTAGAAAATATTAGATTAATAATTAAAAATTTTATAGGTATATCTGTTATAGAAACATGACTAACTCACACACTTTGAATACACACAGATTATCTTAAATCTCTATTCTTTAAATTTATACCGCACTTCTAATTTTTATCACAGCTTATGTTACCACAATTTGCTATACACGTTTGTATTTATTAAATCATGAGATATAATATTTTACAGATAGTTGAGAAGCTCTGTTGTATTTTTAATTATATAAACCACCAGAGAACCAAGTTTAAAAACTCGTTCTTTTGCTACTTTTAAGCTTCTTTTGCTTACTTTTAAAATTGCATAAAAGATAACACACCTCCGATTTTATTATCACTTAAATATATTGTAGAAAAGGTTCTAAGTAATCCCCCCAAGAAATTTGTGGGGTACGGTATTAGTTTAGGAGATATAACGAATTAAAGTTTCATAGTTTTAATGTTTTTTCTATTATAAAATAAGGAAAAATGAAATTTGTTTACGTTGTAGAGCAGACGTGGAGCAGACGTGGAAAAAGTGTTTGTTTACATTTACGGGATAGGTATACACTCATGGATATTTTGTCAATAATATGTTTTACCTATTTCTCGCAGTTCGTTAAAAGCTTTCAACAAGCGACTATACGAATTTCTAAGTCTTGTTGAAGGTAGGAATAAGTTAATACTAAATTTTAATTTTAAATCACACAGAAATAGGTTTGGGTTATATCTTCCGGAAATGGAATCCGCCCCCCGTAGGGGGGGGGGGAATCCACTGCGTCGCTTTCAACATGTGACTACAGGAATTTTCAAGTTTTGTTGAAGGTAAGAATAAGTTAATAATAAATTTTAGTTTTAAATCAGAAATAAATTTGAGTTAGATTATATCTTCCGGAAGTGGAGCCTCCCCCGTAGGGGGGGGGGAATCCACTGCGTCCACGCAGACACTTTCCCATCCACACAATAATTGTGGAGTGAACCTCGCTTCGCGTTGTAAAGTATATGCGTGGACACAGTGGGTTCCGCCTTCCCTACGGAGGGGCTCCACTTCCGGAAGATATAACCTAACCCAAACCTATTTTCAGTTTTAAAAGTAAAGTTGAGTTGGGAATAAAAGAATTTTTTCAGGATGTGAGTGCAGGGGGAGGGACTCCGCCCCTCCGCCGCCCACGCATTAAATAAATAATATTTTTGAAGACATGATTCAGAAATTCATGTTGAAAGCTGTTAATGAACTGTGAGAAATAGGTGAAACACATTATTGACAAAATATCCATGACTGTGTACCTATCCCGTAAATGTAAACGAACACTTTTTCGTCTGCTCTACAACAAATACAACGTACACAAACTTCATTTTTCCTTATTTTATAATAGAAAAAGCATTAAAATTATGAAACTTTAATTCGTTATATCTCCTAAACTAATACCATACCCTACAAATTTCTTGCGGGGTATTACTTATTGTTAGAACCTTCCCTACAACATATTTAAGTGATAATAAAATCGGAGGTGTGTTACCTTTTATGCAGTTTTACCACTTTTAAACGATACATTCCTCAAGGAATCGTATCGCTTATCGTTAATAACGAGCGAAGAAGATTTAAATAGATTATTTTATAGTAGTTTCATAAAAAAAAAGAATTATACGCGATTTTTTTAATGCAAATAATTTTTAATCGTAATAAAAACGCCCTGTCTCTCTCTATTAATGTAGTAAAATAGATTAATTTAAGTACACTATTTTATTAATTAGAATCTCTTGAAATTTGAGATTAGATAATTTTACGAATGCAACAAAACATAAAGAAATAAAATTTTCATAGTTGAAAATAATACAAATTTTGTTAATAAATGTGCAAGAGTGTTTAATATCTTTTGACATAGGCGACAGCGCATACAAACTCGCGGAAGCACTTTCGGCTTTTTGCCCAGAAATGATTACTTTTCCGCTACCGCCGAAATTAGTTATGTTTCGTTACATTCACTTGAAGGCTGCGTCCTGGTCTTTTAATTCCACATTACTCGTTGTGTCCGGATGGCGCGTAGCCAAAAGTCCCGCAACAGCATAAGGCTGTATAAGCTAATTTTTTTTTAAACTTGCTTTGCCTTAAATACTCTTCTTCTCTTTCGCGGTTCAATCTTTTAATCTCATCTCGCTCACGCGATATAACTTTAATTTATTCTCGTCTTTATTTTCTCACGATATTTTTCTAAAGAATTTTTAATTTTTTGCATTTTACTGCAACTTTTTTTTACTTCACTGACGTGAAGTATAATATATAACTTAATACATTCAGGCGGTAATTAATGATAACGACGATGATATAAAATTTCTATGAAATAATAGGCAACGAAAAAAGATTTGTTGCCACATTTATTGTTGAAAGAATCGCCATGATTTCATAAGATATTGGTTTTGTTGGATGAGCTCAGGACAGAGATTAAAAATGCTTCCATAGCTAAATTATAAAATGCTCTTTATAGTGTACATATAGACACACACATGTATATATAAAATATTATTTAATGCATTTTATCATTTAAAAATTTTTCTTTATTATTAATTTTGCTATTGAGAAATATTGTTACAAATCTTTTTTATATTTATATTATTTATTAATTCACAAATGACTAACAATGACTCCGTTCTACTCCGTGTTATGTGAACTCTTCAATTTATGTTATCCTATTTCTTGATGATAAATTTAATTATATATGACGTTTCGATGAGACATCAAACGTTGACATTTCATCTTTATTTGTACGAAAAGCTGCTCGTGCGTTGTCTTATAAATTCTTCAACTTGTGTTATCTTATTTCTTGATGATGAATTTAATTATATGTGATGTTTCGATGAGACATCAAACATTGACATTTCATCTTTGTTTGTACGAAAAGCTGCTCGTGCATTGTCTTATAAATTTTCATATAAAGTTTTATGAATTGAGATTTTGCTAATATAATAATGAGTCGCTATATAACTATTATTAATCAATAACTTTTATTTATTTAATTTTATTATTATATTCTGTCGGCGTTTCGAGTTTAACTTGTACCTATTTTTCATCTACTGTGTCATAAATAATTTGTTGTCACACATTTAAGGATTCGCGACATTTTTTTTCGAGAAACTTAGTGTTAGTTAAGATTTATCAAAAATATATAAAACTGTCCGCGCACGATTGAACAGTCAACATTGCAGTCGAATACTTATATTAGCATCTACATTAAATAAGCTGCATCATGTGCTTCAATTTTCGTGATAACGTTTATAAATATTCGCGATAATAATAAGGGGAAACGACTACTCGTTCTTTTTTCGATATCGCGTTACAAACGTTATGCGAGTCTCATAGTCTGCTAATACAGTTCTCATCCTGTATTCGAGTATTCAACGCAGGTATCATCGGCATCTCGCTGTGAGAACGTGCGAAATGCACCGCGTCGGCGATGGTGGGAAACATGGCGAAAAAATGATTGTCGTTGTGCTCGACCAGGCTGCATTTCCTCATCGTTTCATAAACTGGACCTGCACAATCGCAATATCGAATTTTTATTTTTAATAGAAATTAATTCCGGATATCAAAGTTAATGTAATTTCGATGAATTTGAATTTTAATGCTATATATACGATCCTTCCTCGTGTCTAGGATATATCACGATATTAATTGAGAGAATTGACGAGAGAAAACAATAGAAATTATATGTATGATAAATAACATTGATTAAATTTTGCATACAAATGTGGATTTTTGTCAAAGATTTATAATATACTTACTGATTTATAAATATACTTACCAGAACAACCCGTTATATAAACAGACACTCCTATGTCAGAATACTCATTGACGATGTTTCGCATCGCATTCGCACCTGCCAGATCGACGTGCGACAACGCGGTGAAGTCCAATATAAGAATGCGTAGCTGCATAAATTAAGGATCGAGCATAAAGCCAGAATACAATAAAGATAGTTATTTATCTCATATGAATATAAAACTATACGTCGAATAATTTAATTTTTTTTTCTACGCGAGCTTTTCAAAATTTCTTTAAATTAAATATATATTTACCTTTTTAATTTCCTCTGCCGCGGTGCCGTAACACGAGACTTTCAGACGTCTGTTTAGTTCTTTTCGAGGCACTAGCTCCGCAGTCTTATATACTTTCTCGCGAAAATATTGCCTGGATGCAAAGTTCAGGCTGCCGGAATAATGGAAGATTTTTATACCAGGAATTTCTACGGTCTGAAATCATTTGTTTTTTCAAATATTTATTTTCCGATCGGTTTTCGTTAATTTGCTATTCAAACGATTCATTAAATTTAATAAATTGTAAAATTCCGTAAAATCGTTCTCAGCAGTAGAAAGATTTAAATTATTTAAATAATTCCACAGGCTTTACAATCTTCTTTGAACGGTAAAAAAACTGAAAATTCGAACTTTAATCCTGAATTATAAAATTCATCATTTTTTTTAATTTACAAATTTATATTAGAACGAATATACGCATCATAAAAGAGAAAGAGATAAAAGAGATAAAATAATTCCGAGAAAAAAGTTAAATTAAACTACAAGCTCTCCATACTCCTTTGTATCTCCTGGCATCCAGATAGAGCTCGGTACCGGGTGCTAGAGCGAGCTTGCACGTATAAGGGCGTACCGCAAGGACGAGTAATCGCGCGATGCAAAGAAGTATGCCGACCAATAAACCGTACTCTACATCAAAAAGGATTACTATGACAAATGTGACGGCCCAAATGCCGGCATCCATCTTGTCCAATCTCCAGAATCTCACGAATTCGGTGACCTTCATCAGCATCCCTTTCAACGCCAACACGATTATGCTCGCTAGAACACACTGTATGTCCGACGAATATCATAATTGTTGTTAAATTTATTTGGTTCTTAAATGTTTCTTAACATATTCTAAATGTGTAAGTTAAATCAAAAATATCGAAACGATAAAGGGAATAATTACGCGTGGCAAAGGTTGAAAGAATGGACCGATCCATAGCAATACGCTGACCAGGATTGCGCATGATATTAAGCTTGCCAGCTGTGTGTGTCCGCCCACAGTTTGCTGAATCAACGTTCTGGATAATGAAGCCGTGATAGGCATGCAGGAAAAGAAGGAGCCTACAAGATTACCTAGTCCCTGCAAACATTCCACTTTTTTTAGATATATAGATACTTTTATACTTATTCACTCATTGTCTCTCGCATACATAAAAATATATTGGGGCAACACCAGCGTTTAATATACACGTAGTGGAAGGAAAAAATCTAATAGAAAATAATAATTGAGATAAAAATTATTTTTTTAAAAATACATTTTGATATTTATTTTTAATATACTAAAAAAGATATTATAAATATTGCGACATTTTCAATGCTTACCTGCGCTACCAATTCTTGATTGGAATCAATCTCATAACCCATCTTTTGCGCGAAAATCAATGCCATAGACATCGATATTGTGTAAGCGACCATGGTAATCACGAAACTGTCCACTAAGATGTTAGGTATAAGCGATAACGGTGGCATTGATGGGACTGGCAATCTAAAAATCTTGACATTATGACAGTTCGAAGTTTATTTTAATTGTTTACTTTCACAGCTTGCTTATGTGTGATGTATTTTCTAAAAAAATATATACTTTTTCGATGAAAATTTATGAAATGTTTGAGAAATTATTTTTAATATTGAAGATGATATTTTTGCGATAGACCGCACATTTTTTACTAAAAGCTGTGAAAGATAAATCGAGATTGAATGTTCAAAGATTCAAAAAGTACATTTACCCCACCGGTATATCGCCGACAGTTATCACGCTATAAGTATCCGCCAGATTCATTTGCATTGATACCAGAGTACCGATTACTACCGCAAGCATTTCTATAGGAATTGGGAAGGGACATAACTTTGAGACTCTTGGCTGAAATCCAAATTATTTCTTCTTAAAAACGCAAAAAAGATTTGTACATGGCTTTTTAGTACATAGAACACATTTAACATTTGTCTGCTCAAAGTATAATTATATATCTTACTAACCTTAAGAACTTCGTTGTTGAAGATAAGTGCTAAAATAGTGATGCAAGATAATATTACGGCGGTTATATTGACGTCGTTCAAACTATTGAAAATGTCTACATAAGTCTGAAAAAAATCAATAAGGCAAACGATAACATAAATTTAAAAAAGTACACAAAGAAATCTATATTTTATAGAAAAAAGATTTTTAAAAAACTTCGTACAATTTCATTGTTTTTTACTTTGAAGAGAGTAACATAAAATTTTAATATAAAGAAAATTAGGTAAATAAAATTAGATTAATCAGTCGTACTATATTAAATCGATTTTTTTTTTACCGAAACAAAAATTTATTTCGGTGAAATCGCGATAATACCAGAATGGAAATCATACAAAATTTATAAAAAGTGACAAATACAATGAATATATTTGGAATAAACGGAAATAGAAGTGTCGTTAAAACGTGTTATCTATTACTTCGCGTTTTATATTTCTACAGGTATGCGATACAAATATATATACATAACAGAAAATTATTTGTGTAGGAATCTCATGCATCTTATAATAAAAAAAAAAAATTTAGAAAAAAGTCGAAATAAACTAATAAAGACTTTTATGAACATATCGTACGAAGAAGACAAAATCAAGAGTCAGTCTTTTGTCTCCTTTGTGTGAAAAAAAAAAATATATTTTGGCGCTTTGGGATTCTTTCTTAAGAATATTAATGCAATTGACAAAATAAAAAGTGTACATTTCCTTTTGTGCCATTTCAGCTTTTTTACAATAGGGCATTCTCTCGTTATATATATAGCAATTGCATTATCAATCGTTATTAAAACAATTATTTGAAGCCCTTGGTATAATTATATCTTTACTAAATTTTGTTTCTGTGCGTTGTCAAAAATAATGTTTATTCCTAGTTTCGTTAATGAGATATTACATATCGCGACCCGCGCTCTAAATGCTTACCCTGACCTTTTGGCAGTTTCATGTAATTTTCACATACGTATCACGTAATATTCAGCGTTTAAATTACAACTTGATTACACGGGAATATCTACAGGAAGCGTTCACCACGATTGCTTAAATGTTTGACAAGTGCAAACCTTATATGTAAAGAAGGAAAGAGAAAAAAAAAAAAAAAAAAAGAAAGGAGAAACGTAAGAGCAGAAGTATATCAGTAGCGGTGTGCGCGTCCCAGTTAGAGAGAAGACTCGACTAATGTTTGCATTGCCAAACAAAACTTAGCTGTTACTGTACTCACGAGAATAAGCTTGAACGCACCCCTGCGCCGTGGCAGGTCGCTCAGCCCGAAGAGATCCCTTATTTGCGATGTAAACACGTGCATCGCCGCTGCAGTCGTGAAACCACTCACGAGGCTGTCCGCGAGGAGAGACGAGATTATGCCCAAACGCAGCACGTACATTCCTAACTAGACGAAATATTTTGAGTGATGCGCGAGAGAGGTCAAGGGAGCGAAATAAATATACCAGCAATTATGAGAATGAAGTAATTAAAATGAGCCCACCGAAACAAAATGCTAAATAGTTTCTTAAATTGGATTCTTTGAAGAGATAAAAAATTAAAAATTTAAATTAACTTTGAATTTTTTATTTTTAATTAAAAATTTTTAAATGGCAGGATTGTTAAAAAAAATTAGTTAATTTTTTAACAACGCAAGTGCGGGAAACATATTATATAACACAAGAGCTCGCGAAAATTTCAATGCGTTTCAACGTAGAGAGAGAGAGAGAGAGAGAGAAATATATTCTTCATTAAAATTAAAAGGAGGATGGATACTAAACTTTTAAAAATATTTTTTAAATATTATTTATTATCTTTTTATTTTAATTAAATTAAACTTGATATAAAAATTATTAATCTGCGCTTGTTGAGATTAAAAACTTTAGAATAGATAACTTAAAATGGCATAATCGAAAAAAAAGATGTAGCAAAGAAAAAATTAGAAACATAGAGAGAATCGTAATCTTTGTAGAAAGTATAAACAGCATTGGATTTAGAATATGTATAACGCATTTACCTGTATAATGGCAACCGTGAATGTGACTGCGGTTGCAACCTCCACCGGCGAATATTGATGGCTTATGTCGGAAATTAAGGTACCGTTCTCGGCTGACGTGCTATTTACTGAAATTGCACTGGTACTGTATGTGGTAACGACTTTTCCAGTCATCATGCAGACGAGCGCGAACGTACCTTAATTAACATAGAAGCGGCAATCTTACTTAATTACGGGGCACTCTGAATTAAGCAGCAGCCAAACGTAATTTCTGAATAAACATTGACTCGAAGATTTGCATTAATTTAAATAATTTGTTGGCCTCTGGATTAAATCATTTTAATGTGAACAATGTTTGTTTATATATACTGCGGTCTTTAGTATTTTTTTTTTTTTTTTATAAAATCTGCAACAACCTACCCATGGAGTTGTGTCTGGATGTGCCGAGAAAAAAATACACCAAGACCGGGAAAAAAGCCATGTATATACCAACAATCGGCGGAACGTTGCCCAGAATAGCATATGCCATACCTATGAGAAGAATATCGACAAGAGTGTAAAATAATATACGGATTATCAGATCGAATAATTAGATAATGGGGAAAGCCATTATGATAGTCGATCCGTTTATTAATAATATAATCAATCAGAAGTGCGAGAAACAGAGAATTCGATATGAAACTATCTATGTTTAAAGAGTTAAATATTTTACATAAACATAATATATGAAGACGGCAAAACAAATTAATTGGCATGCGGCTTTGATCCCATCTGTTTACATTGCGGATATGTGTAGCATTAATGTGATAAAACTCGAGATGACGTAGTGGCACTATCTGCTTTCTTTTGCAGTTTCTCGAAACGCGATTATTCTTTACAAACGCACAATCAGCGATTATCAGCCCGTACGATTAATCATCTTCACGATTGAAAATTCGTAATAAAATATAATGGAACGAGCCTTATAACCGTTAAAAGACTGTTTGTATTTAATTTTCCCTTCAGGCTAAACCTTCCAGCCCTCCCATCAATTTATTATACATTATTGTTTTGGAATTATTTAATGCAACATACCTTGTGGAATATGCATTACAGCAACAGTAATTCCGGCAATAACATCTCCCAAAATATTGTTCTTCCAATCATACGAAGAAAGCCAGTCGATTAGAGGTATCGATTTTTTTAAAAACTTAATTGGCTTGATACTTTTGCATCGTCTTGACATTTCATTGCTAACTAAAAAAAGCGAAAATTTTTATGATTAATTAAATTAAATAATAATTGAAAAAATCTGAATATTTTAATTATTTTTTAAATATATATATTTTAATATGTCATACAAAGTGTTCAATAATGTAGAAACAGAGAGAGAGAATTTGTTAGTAATTTATAAAACAAATTTTTAAACAATTTTACTTTATATTTTTAAGATATAATTGAATTATTATTGAAAAATATAACGCGTAGTTTACAAAAATTATACGGATCATTTTCATTAAACCGGTGACACTTCAATTTTTTCTTGTATAAATATAACGCTGTCTAATTTTTAGAGAAGACAGTGACCTTTCTTCGAGAATTTTATTGCGTTCTCTGTCAATCGCGATTTAACAACTTAAACCGGTTTTACTAATAACATAGCGGTTAATGTTTCAAGCAGATTGACACATCGAGAAGTGATTTCTCGAGAAAATACACGCGAGTCAAAGTAAAAGGCATTAAGAGAACGGTAAAAAAAAAATAAAAGCTATCTCTATCCGCGCTCGAGTAGATTGTGACACTTACGGATTCTCTTGGGCTTCACGTATTTACACAAGTGATTAAGCTCGTCCTGCTGGTAGACCGGCCGTCTGACTGTCAATTCTGGAGTCGTCGACATATTGTCGCTCCAGTGCTCTTCTGCGAAAGAGTAACAATTGAATGAAATTAAAAACTTTATAGAAACTATTCTCATAATGTGAAAAAATTATCGATTTCTTTTCTCGCGTAGTTTTGGCCATACAAGTTAATTAATTGATTAAACGGAATATTTTCATTGTTATTTTCGTTGTCAAATGACTCATGTGAAGAATCTTTAACATAATTTATATAGCGTTTGAAACGTAGACATTGAATTTAAATCAAACATAAAATTTCGATTATAGTTTAATATTTGAAATTATGATGAAGAGTTACAGACTTTGCAGAAAAATTAATTTATCAATAATATAAATAATTTAAACAGCTGACAGGAGAACTGTGATATGAGAAAGATTGAAATAAGATTTATCTTACCTGGGGGGCAGATTACTAATCAAGTGAGGAAATATCTGTGTCTATGTGCATGTACGTATATTTTGTTATGTATATCACGCGCTTTTTGCGCTTAATGACGCATATTTTATTAAAGTGACGATTTAATCGTACGACATAATCGCCAAGAATGTTTCGGTAAACGGCGAGCGCAATCTATCAAGCTTGCAAGGTTGCAAACTTTCTATTAGATTAAGATTAAGGTAAGCAAATTTTGTTTGTTCGGTGTAAACCGAAACGAGTATTATGAGGAGATTAGTTTTACATCGTCGAAAGAAACTGATTATGTAATCGATAACATGCGATCGAGTTATAAGTTATATGATAGGATTGTTTGATTTGACAAGTTATATTGGTAAATGTTTACAGCCATTATTTCAAAAAATTTGAATTGCAATTACGAACATGAACGAAATTTGATATATAATAAATATATATAATTATTTCAGAAAATTTATTTTACTAAAAATTGATCGTTCTTTTTAAAATTTCGAGTAAAGCCGTTAAAACGTGAAACAAAAAAGCGATAAATTTTAATATAATTTAAGTATATAAACTTAAATAAGCCAATAATCTTTTAAGGATTAATAAAGATTATGCAAAAAGTTTAACGCGATTGAGAATAGATAAACTAAGATGTGAGTGTAAGATTACGTTCGCGTTTTCACGATTTATTCGATAGCGCGGCTAATTGATTAAATTTATTATCGCGACGGCATCAATACAATTATTAGTATTTCGATTACAAGCTACCTGTTGACATTATGAAAATGTATCTTGAGGTGTCTCGGAACTCGATTATTCGCGGTACTGTCTACTCGTGGTGTGATAACCGAACTTTCACGGGCTAAGCAGATCTGATAACTAAACGTACATTTGCACGCGCCACTGGTCGGTACTATCCAGTTTTACTGTCGTGTAGTTGGCCGATATCACGATTCAATATTTTCAATGGAGATAATATACGTAAGTCTATCACCTAATACAGTTTATATCCTAGGCTTTACATTACTTACTGGGTTTAGCCGCTAACAATAAGAGATATGTTGTCTTTGAGATAAGTAAATTATGATCGCGAAACAAGACGTTAAATATTGTCAAATATCTTTCCACAGACATCAATTAAGATATTGTATGTAATTTTTCTTATTGTCACACAGTGATAATAAGAAAAATTATTTTAAGAAACTTAACACGTGCGTCGAATGAGAAAATAAATACAATTTATATATATGCCACGCTTTTAGTTTATTATATCGGCTGAATTGCAAAAGGTTAGTGAAATTTTGAGTTCTTATTAATATTTAGACAATATGAATACGTTATTGGAATAGAGAGAGAGAAGAGTAACACGAGTTTACATATTTTTATATATTTTCTTAATTAAGAATTTTTTATGCGCGTGTTGACAATTCTATTTTTTTTTAAGATTTAGCTATTGCGATATTACAACAGTTATTCGTTCTAAAAATGTAATAAACAAAGTATGTCGTTATTTTTGAAATGTTATAAAATGCAGATATATTCAGCATTAAAATTAAAAAATTAAGAAACACATGGCGATTTCTTATAAAATAAAACAGATCGCATTTGATTAAGAATCAATACCTTTTTTTTAAGACATAGAAAAGTGCTTTTAAAGGATTATTACGAATTTGCATTGTCACATCGATTTAATAATCGTTGATCGTCGCAAACTTGTCATAACAAACATGCGATTAATATATATCATTCACTATAATAATTACTGAATAAAAACAGCACGAAACACTGGCATATCCTTCGCGGGGAACGGGTGTGACGTTGGTCGAGAATTAGAGAAATCCGATTAAATGAACTCGATTTTATCCGCGCGTCAATCACCATCGATTCGATAATTAATTAAACGGTCGCGCGGTTTCGCGGACCGCAAGTGCACGCGGCGATAAACGAACGCATAATGCAAATCGCGGCTCACTATCCGTCATAGCGCACACGTGCGCTATATAACGAATTTAAAAAGATTCACAATCGCGCCGTGGCCTATACCATTCTCTCCGAAGCAATATATCATCATATACCGCATGTTGCGAGAGAGCAAATCACGCGGAAACGACATACGCGCACTGTTGTCAGCCTCTTGCACTAACGCAATCCGGTCACGTTGGTATCGATGATAACGTACGAGTTTAGTATGTCTCTGAATTCATCTGCTGTCAAATTACATGTGTATTTATATGAAATGAAGTGGCAAGGATCGATTGAGATATTTCGTCGAATCATTGTTCGTCGCCAATTCTCCTCAATCATTTTGTTGTCATAAATCAATGCGCGTGCGTGAAAAATTAACACTCCTCATATAGTTTTGGAGCAAAACATCCGCAAACAACAAATAATTTTGAATATATATACTTATCCACAGATATTAAAAATATCTTTATAAGTGTATATCTTTATAAGCTGTTTGTTTAATTGGTTATATAATAACACACAATTTATTTCAATTAATCTATTTAACATTGAAAGCTTTTCATTGTATTGATTATCACTGTATATATGTAAAAAGAAAATTAAAATAATTTCCCTTCGTACCTATATATTTTTACAATAATAACGAACGTTTTCTTCTTATCCGATTCTGAAGAGAAAATGTCAGAACCAAAAGTATCGTTGCGCGATAAATCGAAGTAAGGGAAGAAAATAAGAAAACGTACGTATCGATAATAGAATCTCTTATTGTTGCCCGAAGAGAAATTTGTTTTCATGTAAATCGCGGTTTACCGGCGTGCTCGTTTCTGTTTCGATTACGCACTAACGGGTCGATGTTAGACGGCGATCTTTGCATCTTACCAGCCACGCTTTTATAAAATATATTATTTCTGAGTCTGTACACTCTTGAGTCTTCTTGTTAAGTCGTACTGTAGCTGTAAATATTTTTACAAAATATTAAAAAATATATATAAATGTATATATTTCAAACATATATTACATAGAATATGTAAATACATATTTATCAGTAACGCTTTCTGCGAGAAACAATAAATATCGGTCAGATTTCTCTTGATCTTGGGAAATCACGAGGACGAACGCACCGATATGCGACGAGAGGCGCGCAGATGTTTTTTTTCATCGCCGCGAAATCGCTACGCGGCCTCTCAAGGTGCATTAGACATCGTAAATATCTTAACGCATATTGAATGCATCATTTCGGAGCACATTTGAGACGGTCTCGCTTCTAAAGTATGTATATAATGACTAATTATTAATTAATCTTTTTTTATTCATTATTTTTTTTTTTACTTTTTCTACATCTCATCATTCGGTATTCGGAGATGTCAATGTTCTTGCATTTTTCAAATGGTACCACCATGCATTATGTTGGTAATAATAAAGAGGAATACACAATGTAACGTTCAAATAATTATCAAATAAACTACCAAATTTTTATATCTGAGCTTTGACCAGTATTCAAACATTAGCTTAAAAAGTTACGTATAATGAATATAGAAACGAAAAGTGGAGGCGTATATAAGCATCTAATAAAAAGAAATTTTTTTCTTTTTTTTACGCGCATTACTCTCGAGATATATTACGGCAATTAATCAACGAGTAAATATTCTTAATATCTATGTCATGGCAAAATGTATCAAGCAAAACGTACCTTCTCCGTTTGTCAAGCTGGATCTCAGCTGAAAAAGAGAAATATGATTTTGATAATACGAGGCGCTATCGATCGTAACGCAAATACAAATAGATGAATTTAAAGCAAATTTAATTTAATTTTAATATTTAAGAAAGAGTAAAAAAATCAGAGATAAAATTCCACAGGTTTGATACATGCTATCAATTTTCAAGCCGCGTGCGTGCGCGTGAATTCGTTATGTTAAACTCGTACAGTTCGCGTGTACTTGAACTGTATTTCGTTCTCTGATATCAGGTTTTGGAAGAGCAAACGATCAGTTTGATAGTTGTACTGTTGATGTTGAAATAATGCAAACGACGATCGCAAACATTCCGCATGTTTGATCACTCTATTGCACGTGGAATCTAAATCTATGTATGTTAGGCTCGCATTCACATTCTAGATTTAGGGCTGTATGCGGCCGTATAATTCTCAGCTTGCATAATGATATCAAACATGTTCTTCGTAATCGATAAATTAAACGGCTTAAAAGCAGAAGGCCACATTCACCGCTGTCGGAAATATACGAATACTTGAATTCCTCTAATTTCTCGATTGTGTGTATTCGCGCGTATGTATGTACATAATTACATTATCTGAGAAATATAACAACCATAAGTGTATTTTTTTTAGGGGGGGTGGGGAGTTCTCCTTTTACATCAAAGTTTCGCTCTCTCTTTTGAGTATTACGTACCAGATTTTCCGCGCTGATTGATTTGTTCCTGGAAATTCCCATTGTGCCGCTGTCGCATCGTCCGTAGATGTACACTGTATTATTTATAGAGACTTGTAGCTGGTAATCTCTTTCGTTACTGTTCCTCACGATAATACTGCTGTATCACTTTAGGGCGTTAGCGATAAAACTAGCGCTCGGAATCTTCTCTTTTCTATCTTAATCTTTCGGGCGCAAGTGTTATTTACGAATGTGATTGTCGGATGGCACTGTTTTACTTTACACGCTTCTTCTCCGCAGCAATATAAATTCTTCTCGTCAATTTGCCTCTTTGCACAGACTGCGAATGATCGGAATGCATTCGACGTATGATATTTAATAAAAGAGATAATTCGAAGAGACATAAAACACACGCGCATAAGCGATTGTGCTTGACCTCTTATTTAACGAACGAACGTTTCTCTCGATCCATTTAAGCGTTGATTGACTTGATGTTTTTTGTTTCGATTTTTAGATATAACCACGTAAAGAAACGTATAACTTGGTAGATTATCAAATTAATAAAGGCTCTTATGAATATATCATACGAAGGAGATAAAAGGCAATCAAGAGCCAGCGCGGTAATTTGTGCGCATATGTTTTATTACAATCAAATTATATTGATATTTAACTGATAGACACAATCACAAAAAACGTCCCTTTTTTGGACCAGCGCAATTACAAAGCATATAAAATATATTATATCAAAAATGTGACAGTAATAATACGCGGAACAAGAGTGAGTCACCCATGTTGTCAGATGGTTGTAATAAAACATATGCGTACAAATTACCGCGCTAGCTCTTGATTGCCTTTTATCTCTTTTGTTTGGTAGATTATGTTATACTAATCTACATCCGCTTGAGATAATTCCATATTTAATCAAATATTTGTCTTTTAATAAATTTCCATTTTAAATTATAAGAAGGTTACATGTATTCAATAAGTAGAAATATAAAAAATGAAAATATGATTTAAACTTGTGTTAGATATTGTCTTGTAGCACTTTAAAATGCGGTAATTTGCAGTTTGCGCAACACATGTTTTTAATATTTTAAATAATTGGCTGTTATTTAAAATGGTTTATTTGTATCATTGTGTCGTACTGTATTTAGTAATTCCTTATCGCATTTGTGTACATAGTTACAAGCGGCGCCGCCTCAGTTCATCAAAAATACGATTTATTTACATTTACTTATTTGCCGTTTTTATCAGCCGTGATAAATTTCGTGACCTCTCCGATATAAATGTGTCACTTGTTTCCGCGCGTTGTTGAAAACGAGTAGCATATGCAAGATCGACAGATTCTCTTATCTCAGAATATTATTCAAGATGCAACTTGATGCAAAATTGCATGTTATTTTAAATACGATAATATTATATATAAATATATTCTCTATATAAATTTTATTTTAAAACTTTTAACAACAATTTTATAAAAATTTTCAAATATGTAATATTACCAAATATAATATATGCTTATACTTAAAATTTTAGATTAAATTAAAATTTAATAATTGAGATATTTAATAAGAAAAGTAAAATGGAAATTCTTGCGAGCAATAAAATTTTTGAGACATTTTTATTCAAAAGCAACATGGTTATATGTTTTTGCATGAATTCACAAATAAAAAGAAATACCATAGTTTTGCAATTCTTTGTACCAATAGCCAATAAATACTTATGCATTGCATCGTAACATTGTCAACCGAAATTGCGACTGAAGCAATCAGAATTTAATAAAAATTTTCAGTTATTGTCGCGCGTAGCGACAATGCAACGGGCTGTAAAGAGCGGTGTGCAAATGCGCGGAATTTGTTCCAGATCGAGAGGAAAGCCGAACAGAGCTCAACACGTCCGCGTACTTACTCTTGTGTTAGTCATCGTGAAAGGGTATGGAAGTTTTATAATGAAAGAGCTGATACGTGACCGCTTCTATAGATTTCGCGGAGCCACTCGAGCTTGAGCCAATAATACGTGCCTGAATATCGAGTGATACGTGCCTGAACATCAAGCTCGATACATGTGTTCTAACTAGAATACGTTGCTCTGGTTCCATTTCTTTAAAGCTTTCCTTCGACTTTTGCTTGAACGGAATACAATTCGCGGATAGATAATGGATATTGTAAAATCTGTCAGTGATATAATCCATTTCCACTTTCTTATATATTTGCTTTTTACATATTAAAATATTGAAAAAAAAGTGCGCAAAGTCTTTAATTAAATCGTTGAATAATTTCTATATGTGAATGCAAATATTTTGTTAATGTATAACTAATTATCGATTAACTAATGTTGTTTTTCTATTAAAAAAAAATTTATCTTTGCATAGGAGATAAAATAGTTTAATTTGCATATCGTAAAATACAATTTTCATGAAAAAATTTTTAGGATTAATTCATAGGAAAATCGAATAAGCATTTTCTTTCTTCTTACAACTAAATTCAAAAATCTAAATTATACATATTTTTTTTTTAAATCTGCCGGAATAGCTACATTCAAATAGTTGGAAAAATATGCCAAAATTCGAATATTAAAGTCGCTGTCTATGTTCCATATTTTTTTCTTTTTACAATTGAAAGTCGCAATCTTCCCGAGAAACATTGTTCGACCTTTCGGCACACGTTGAAAATATAATCTGTTTTTCTCCGCGTTGTTGTGTGCGTTCACCTCGGAATCGATCGCAATTCCTCGTAACAGGTTTTCCTAACTCGCTCGTGTTTCCCGTTGCTATGATCAAGAAATTATTCATTTTTTGGCAGTTTATATCATGCGCTAAATATAATAAAATAAAGGTATAGATAAAAATAATCACATGGTGCGATATATTCTGAGCTTATATTTTCCCCAGATATTATTCTTGCTTTTCTAATTTAATTAATTAAAGTTCAAAAATTGCATAATTTAATAAATATAAGTAAGTTTTATAATTTTGTAAATATATAAGTAATATTTAGCTTAAAAATTAAATTCTTATTAAATTATATTCAATTCATGTAATCATAAATTTAGATTTTATTTTAGAATTTCACTAAAATGAAAACGAGTTGCAATTTCCTGTTATTCAGTATAATTAATCATTTTTTGATAAATATATTGATATAAATTAATCTTTTATTTCATTATAGAATTCTCAAACTTCTCGGATCGATTATTAAAATAAACGCAAGCATTATGTATTTAATAATACAATATTTTTTTGTAAGAGATATAATCATAAAAAAATAAGGATTTGGAGCGATAGAAGGGTGTCAAGTGAGAAATGACACGAGTATGGTTAATACGTCTTTTTCTACGTTTCTCTATTTATTATGAAAATATAATACAAAACATCCTATGTTGTATTACATAGATAACAATGCTCAATTAACGTTTTTTTTTTCCTTTTGTCTTGTAACGTTACCATCCAACACTATGAGAAGCATGTCGGGATAGGTAAGGTCTTGTTCTCTTCTTCTTTTTTTTATTTATTCTTTTTCCTTCTTCAATTGGAGAAAAGGCCCGATATACAGAGAGATATATAGACGAAACGTTATAGAGCAAGATTACAGAGATCTCGGAACGAAGAAATCAAACTATTTTTACAAAAAAGAGCGCCCGTTACAGCACGAGCCAGACGATAAAGGGGGGGGGGGGGGGGGGGAGGGAAATGATAGAGGAAGATTGATGAGGAGAGCGGGAGAAGGGCGGGATGGATCTTTAGATCTTGTGTCGCGTCTTGTCGATGCACAATTGGAGTTTTGTATTAGCGCTAGTTTACAAATAATACAAATGTATGTAAATATTCGTTATAATAATAGGTTCTCTCTTAGCGAGAAAGAAGCTTAAAACTAATTCATCTAGCGTCAACTATCATTTTTTTCACACCATGCTAATACTACGTGTTCCAGCTGGTACCCATGAACAGCTTGGTCAATCGACAAAGATCCTCGATATATATATATATACGTCTCGAGCGATTCTATTTAATGCGCATAAATAATCGCTCCATAAAAATAACGATTCACGATTCATATCCTGCATTTAGCGTTAAATGTAATTGTTTGCGATATAGTATCGCGATCTTCGTGCAAATAGAAGTCAAAATGAGATAGATACGTTTAACTCGTAATTATAGGATATGAATCGATGATGACTATTGAACAAAAATATCGCTTTAGCGAAGATCGGATTCACAACGGAGCTTAAATATTGACATCACGAATAATTCAAATTCTCATATTTTTGTTCATTTGCATTCTTGATGAGCGATCAAAGAAGTTTCGCTGAATTAGAGGAGCGTGCAATTAAAGATTTGCACAGATTCGACGCGTAAGTAAAATCTTAAAACGACTAAATAATCTCGAATTTTCATTATCCAAGCCTCAGCTCGGGATGAACTTTTATCGGATATTATCGATTTACTGTCCATTCGCGGTAATTAAATTACAGCTACGAGAGATCGAGGTTAATGCCGATCGTACATTTAAAGTTGCAAGGACTGCAAGAATTCTTATTCATCCTTGTCTATACTTTACATCTCTTCATTAAATCTGCAATCGCAACAATAATATATATCTGATTAAATTGGTTTTCGTACTTTCTTTTACAAAAGAGTCAAAAACCCTCTTCTATTGTGCTATGTCGATTGAATTTAATTCAATGCAGCATTTGCGATATTTAAGAATCGAGTGAGTGATTTATTTAAAGTTTTGCACAAGAGAATTTGAGCGAGACAGCGCAAGTTTGCTGTGTGTTTTCTTTTCCTTTCTTTCATTTTCCTTTAATTTTAATGAAAAAGATCGAAATCCTCGATAAGCATAAATAGCGATTCCAGCTGTCACAGGCACCGAGTGAAATACATTAGCAATCTACGATAACTCTATATCACTACCTCGGAGGCGAAATACAATCGTCTGGAATGTTTATTATCGTCGCTTTCTACGTGCTAAACGCGCCGACGTGTTATTCCCGTCGAAAATAGTCTCGATCGGCAATAATTAATGCCAGCCAGGCTGGTCGATCTCTAGGCAATTAGTGTCATCTACGTAAATGCTAAGTACAATTAGCACTACGGTCAGAATAAGTTAAGGGCCATACATAATGTCTGTGTTATGCGTATATATGTATATGTATGTTTCTATGTATGTATGTATGTATGTATGTGTATCGGATTGTATAAATACCGCGTGTGTATATATGTGTGTGTGTGTGTGTGTGTCTTTCTCCGTGTGCGCCGAGTATATATGTCGCATGCACAGTGTATACAATATGTGTATGTATTATCTACGAATTATTATTATTTTTTTTTTTTTGCATTATCGGTATAATATAATTTACCTTTAGTACCTTTTTACGCCGTTAATTACGCTCGCTTTAACTCTATATTGCTCTTTGTATTGCTTCGGCGGCAGTATAGCCCTACGTAATCATGCAAGGTATATTTTATTGGTAGTTTTTTTCTCGTTACTAAGTAATATAAGTAATCATAATAGAGTGGGAGTAGTGTGATAATAATAATAATCGTAATAATAATCATAATTTCGTTCGCCGTTATCATTGTATATAATGATAACCGTATATAATG